AACAAACTAGACCCAAACAGATCAATAATACATAGGCTGTCCACTCAATATACATGCAAATACTCACAAATGTCAACTTCTAATCCCTTTCAACTTCTTAAATCTTTTTACCAAACCTCAATCAAATACCACAATAAAAACAAAAGCCATACAAACTGACCTAATTTATACACTCTCTATAAAACCACCCATCAACAATCCACAAATACTAATTAACATAGACCTTTTTGAAGCACTGAAACAAAAATATCTGTCCCCATCATTACAATCAATCATTAACACTCTACCTCAATATACCAATACAAATCTTGAAATCTTACTCACTTCCAAACATAAATCTAACACAATAACCGTTACTTGGAATTATATACAATACTATAAATCTTTTTCAACAAATTTTAACTCAAGTTCACTGCCCTCACTTCTATATGCAATTATTATTATTCTTCTTTCTAACAACTCGAAAAGCTATAATTTCTTTATTACATACCCAAAACTGACCAACAAAATCCTTTCATCTCCACCTCTAAACCACAGAAAAAAATGCAAAATCCTATACTTTATTACTATCTCAAATATTGATAACATAATTCAAACTCCACAAACCTTTTACAACTTCTATAAACCTACCTCTGCAATTCAAAAAACCCAATTGTCAAACTCTCATCTCCCATAAATAAATATCATTGATACTTCACCAATTCAATACACACTTGCTGGCTATAACAACAACTATTACCTTCAACATGACAATATTTGAAACAGCTAAACAAAATTATCAGATACACTAAAATAATCTTCCCCAACCAAGCAAAAACAATCTTTAAATCAAACTTTTTTCTTCTTACAAACACCCTCACATTCCTAAAAAACACACCAATTCCAACTTCACAATAACAATCCAAAATATATAACTTCCATCTTAAAATCCTATCTGATATACTCCCAACCAAATATCATCTACACATCACACATCCACATATCTATACAAATAATATATGCCCATGCTGCAATATCTTGCCAGAAACAACACATCATCTATAGCTTTGTAATGAAAGCACAGCTACAATTAAAAAAATAATAACAGACACCCAAACATTAATTATTAAAAAACTCAAAAACAACAAAAACCTGAATATTAACTCAATTCAAAAAACAATAAACAATCTTCTTGACCTAATCAACTTTCTGACAGGAACACTCCAACTCAAAAACTTCTTCAACAATTTCAAGCCAACCTAACAAGATTTAAAATCTCTCAATCTAATCCAAAATGAAATGCTTGAACTTATTTAACTCCATATTTGGATTCCCAGAAACAAGGACATGATAGCAAAAGAGGAACTCCTTGACATATCACAAATATGAAATACAAAAAAAACAACAACAACAAAAATAAAATACTCAAAAAAATCAATCAAAACTAACAAAACACAAAAATTAAACCAACTAATAACAAAAATATTTAACATAACAAACTAACTGATATCACACTTAAACTATTCTCCCAAGACACTTCCATGACCTTTTAGGATAAAATAAATTATTAAGGAGGCATTAGCCCTCCAAGATTAGATAGTTCCTTTCTTTTTTCTTGCTCAAAGGTTTTTTTATAGAAATATATCTAATACGGTGGTAGGCTAACATGTATAGTAATGTATCTCACATCTTAATATTAATCATGTAACAATTTTACTTTATTAATAAAGATTGTGAGAAATGCCTTACTTAACCTTAAAAAAAATAAAATCTAATAAAATTTAATTACTTGAATTAGAATTTTTTATTCTATCTCCAAATTATATTAAAAATTCTTATAATTTTTTTAAAGTATTCATTCTTAAATACTAATCTCATTAATTTAAAAATCAAGACCCAGTATTTTATTAAAAATTTTGGAAATAAATTAATATTATTAATATATATTTGTTGCTAAATCTTTATCAACTTATTGTTTTTCAGATGAGAAGTCTTTAAGAACTAATTAAAAATAAATAGCATAACTATAAATAGTTAAAGATAATTAGCTATGTTAAAACTTTTATAGTGACTTATTGAATTAAACAATTATAATCATTGTATTGAATACTTAAATTCCTCTAAGTTTTAATAAATGTTCTTTGACTTAAATAAAAATAAGTTTACAATTAATATCAAAAGCCTTATAATTTTTTTTTGCAATTATATAATAAATATTGTATGGCATTTGAAAGTATTGATTTTATATTAATTGATTTAATGTTAAAATTTTATTGTATAATTCTTGCCTTGTTATTAGTTATTTGCTTCTTTGTAAAGTAATTACCAATAAGATTTCTTGGAATTTTATACTGACAATACCCTATTCTCCTAGTTATAAGCATCACCTTTTAGGAGTTTATGCTAGATTTATTTTTGTGGGATACTTATGATTGGAAAATTTATTTGTTCAATAATTTGATCAATATCAATCTGATTTGAATAAAAAATATACCATTAAAAAGTCCTTATTGAGAGGAATCTAATGGTATTATTTTATTAAAATCCAATTATTGTATACTGAGATATATTAATTTTTGTATTTTTTTTAAATAAAATTTTTTGTTTTTTTTTAAAAATTTTTTTAAAAATTATAGTGCTTATAACTGGGGAGTATTTATAACTGGAAGAATACAGTATATCAATATTTTTTTAAATTTGTGATACCTAAATTATTAATTATTGATTGATTCTTGAAAATCTAACAAGTTTTGTACTATTTATTGGTTCTGTATTATTTAATGTTTGCAAGATCATTTTTTGCTAAAGATTAACTATAATCTCTTCTGATCCTACAGTAATCCAACAATCTTATCTTGAATATTTATAATTTGATCATGCTTTAGGACCTTCATCTCTATAATAAAAAGTTGATAAACTTATCAAAGTTTTGTTAAAAGGTATAAATTCTAAAAGAATGTAATTTTTAATAACTTTCTTATGAATATAAACATATTATCAAATTTGATGTAAATTCTTTCAAAAGAATAATATATATTTTAATATGTTCCAAAATTATTGTAATATAAATTAACAAATAGTTTGAAAACTGGAAGTTATGGTTTGATAATGAAGTAGTGAAGACATATTTAGCAAAATGTTAATCTTATAGTAAAAAATTTTGAATTTTCAATGACCTTTAAACTTGTAAAGAATTTCATTTATAAAGTAATTAGAAAATTCATGATTTCTATCATTTGAAACATATGCATATGTTAATGTGACTGATAATTTGTTATAAAAAATTAAATCAATTCAAAAGATTGATCAATTAATTAAAGAAACCTGAAGTTTTTAATATTTTTTACAGAAGATTTTGGGAAGTTCATAGCATTCAATGATTTTTTAACCTTTAACTTTAACTATTTTTTTCCAAAAAAATTGCTCGAATACATTTTTTTTATGTATCTTGATAATAAATATATTTACATAAGTAATATATTTTAAAAATTTTAAAGTTTAATTAATAATCTTTATAATTAAATTAAATAAATCAAATTAATTAATTTATTATTATTGTCTACAATTGATTTTTGGCCAATAGATCATTATGATAAAAAGTTTTGCCTCCACAAGTAAAATCTTTGATTTTTTTTTCATATAATCATGATTAAATTGCAAATGGAACATTATATCAATAGGGTTATTATAAGCATTAGTAGCTAAATTTAAAATTAATAAGTTTGCTTGATTCTAAAAAATTAAAATAAATAGATCTTATAAATATTATGTTTTCATATTTTGCAAAACAATAATGTAGAAGTCAAGTTTTTAATATATGGCAAAAACTTATATATATTTGATAAAGTCTCAAAGTCTTGTGCTTTATTTGTTATTTTTTTGTGAAATTGTAAAATGTTTTTAACTGATTCACTGCTAAATTCTTTCAAGAAATTTTTGTGATTGAATTTTTTCAAAAAATTACTATCAAATTCTTAAGTAAAAAGATTAGATTAATTTAAATCCAAATATTTTTAAAGTTTATTATCATTATACATGATTTCTCATATTTATTGATTGCTTTTATAAAAATTTATTAATTAATGAATAAAATCATTAGTAATGATTTTTTAATTGAGTTTCATTAATTATTTTTTACCAGTGTAATCATAAAATAAATTTTTATAAATTGAATCATCATGAAATATTAAATTATCATTCAATTTTTCAAATAAAGATAAATTTCCTTTATAGTGTAATAAAAAATCCAATAAATTATAAGAATATCATTTTTCTAATCATTAAAAAAATTTTAAAAATTAAAATGAAAAAGTGCAAAAAAAATGTTTTTATGTATTTATACAATAAAAATTTTAAATAGTAAGTTTTTTATTAAAATGTAACTACCATATTGAAATCCTATCTATCAGACTTTGAAATAGCTTTGGCATAAGGATCAGTAGTTGGCGGGGAATAAAATAGGACCAGAACGTTAGTTAAATTAAACTATTTCAAAGTTGGAATCCGATGCAATCAATTCACTTATATATCATATTCCTAAAATAAAAGGATTTATCACAAGAAATAAAGTTAAAAAAGGCATGTATTGTATATGCGGCTCCAAAGCCTAAGCACATTATATCTCACCATCAATGTCGCATTAATATTTCTTGGGTTTCAAATTCACTCTTATTCTCTTTGACATAAACCTCTTAAACTATAAACTATATGTATTACGTTAATTACGTCAGTGATACTCAAGGATATTAACGCGATAATGTACGTACCTCACAAAGCAAGAACAAAGAGAAATAAACGAAATATTGTAATTTAAATATAAAGCACGAATATCCTTATCTACTAGTACGGAAATGTCACGCCTGCACGAGTGCTGCATAGTTGACGCACGAGTGACGCACAAAAAGAACACCCCCCCCATGTTGGGAAAAAAAATCTATAAATATTACCTGTACTACGTCATATGTGGTGCTTAAAAATAGAATTATGAGAGAAAATGCACAGTACGTTTTTTCAACACAAACATGAGCAGAAGAAACTCGGATCCGAGTAATTTTCATTATTATCAAAATATATCCGAAAGTATTCGTAAGTATTCTGTCTTAACAGGATAAATACAATTTTACTTTCAGTATTATACTGTATATCATTTTTAAATACTTCATTTTTCTTAGGTTCCTCAGAGGAAGGCAAGTGTATATTGTTATTTTAGTTTATTTATTTACACAGGGGAACAAAGGTGTGACGTACTGTATATCTGTTCATTTAGGTTCCAACAATGCTGTTACCAGCGATCATGACCTTGCGGTACAATTACAACTAGCGTTTGATGAAGAGAATGAAGAGACATCTTTTCAAGGTACTATAAGTTTTTAAGAGAATAGAATAAACACGAAATTATAACTTTCTTTGATTTGTAGACTTCACATTCTTACAATCTCAGAATAGAGGTCAGACTGATTTAACAAGTACAAGCGAAGACGTCACAAATGATGAAATCATCGCAAGGCAACTGAATGAAGAATTAAATAGCTCTAACATCGGATCAGTCGACAGTAAGTTTTAATATTTCAACCAATTTTGTAGCATAAATTAAGAATATCGTTTGTAGCTTCATCATTGGGAAGTCCGAATGACATCCCCCAAACAAGAGATCATGATGATCAGCCTTTAAATTTTAGAGGTACTGTAGTATGCATTTACTATAACTAAGTCCATCGATTTACTGTTCTTTATATGATAATATTTTGAATGGAATTGTGCCTGACTACTAGATATGGATATAAATACCCCATCCATATTTGAAGATTTTCCTGAAGGTAATTCTCCTTAAAGACATGATGTAATAACACGTATGGGGTAATATTTAAAATTCAATTAACGTTTATATATTAATACAGAATATTTAAATGACAACCTAATTGAAGGTTATGAAGGACCAAGTGAAGGTAATTTTTTTCAAAGTTTTAAATAATATTTCATTTTAATTTTTGAGATGTTTATCTATTTTATGGTTTACAAATTACACATTCTATTTGGGATCAATAAAAATTTTATTTGTACAAGGTTTAAATTGTCAAGGTATGGGATATTTACTCTTTTTCATTGATCTAGTTTAAATTATTGAATATTATTTTGACGGGAACCCTTCTCACTCTTGTTTCATATTAACATTTATCAAAGATTTAAATTCGATCATCCTTAGATTTAAAACAAAACTACATCAAAAGAATCCTGATGCTAAAAAGCTACGTATTCATCTTTCATCAAGAAACCCAGATATTATGTTTACGGAATTCATTAGTGCCATTAGGCAATTTAAGAAAAAGGATTTTATATTGATGCCAGAAATTGTCTTCAGAAATGAGTAAGTGTTAGATTTCTTGGAGTTTTGATTGTAACCTATCTTATATCCCATTTGTTTTTACTTTTCATATCCCTAGACCAGCAAGAGACTTCGGCGGAGTATTTAATGATACAATTCGTCAAATTTTGGAGATATTTATGTCACTAGAGAGTCCAGAGTATGGTGGGGATGGCCATCTATTTACGGGAGATTCATCCAAGCTAATCAGCTCCACGGCACCGGTTCATATTATGGATGAACTTGACGTGAATATAACTTATCTCTTTCATCAATTTCTGTTTTTTGTTTAGCCAATGTTTTAATATCATGTTAATAATGTATAACCTCGATTAACCAGGCATTTGGCGATGTATTGTTCTTAGCTGTAATCCACAACGCGCCATTTCCTAATGATCTTGATATTACCCTGTTTAAGTACTGCTTGAATATGGAGAACATTATATCATTGGATGACTTAAAAGGTTTCAGCATGACAATGTACAATCTTGCTAGAAGAGTATATGATGCGCCACAAAACGTAGATTTGTCAACAATAGAAGGATTTGATCAATGGGCTGAGGAAAAAGAAATCAATGTTAGTCATTTGCTATTTTGCGTATATTGTTCTAAGTCATCTTACATTCTTAATATGGACATTTCATAACATGCTAGGCCATACAAATGAAATTATATTCTAGTTCAAGAAAGAATCTAAAGAAGTTGGCCAATTTAATTTGTGAGGATGTGTTGATTAATAGTCGCATCAATCAGCTTAAATCCATAAGCAAAAAATTTAACAAATTTGGATTTTTCGATGTATGTACTTATTGATGTCTTCGTATATTGATTGGTAATGATTTAACAATTTGGCCATTTATTGTAAATTTGATTCCAGGCTCTGAAAGCGAACAAAGTTACAATTGAGGACATTAAGAATTACTTTTATTGTGAGATAGTAACACCGAATGACATCATCCGGAAATTGGCGTTCGGTGATAACCTGAATCCCAAACAGAGAAATGTTCGAGATTGGCTCATTGATTGGTTACTAATACAAGATAAAACAGAGTTACAAGAATTCTGTAGATTGGTTACGGGCTTTAAAAATCCTAGGGAGCAAATAAATGTACATATTTGAATACTTTATTTATTACTTTCATAATTTTTTTAATCTTAATCTGGTCTTGCAAAATGTTTTTTTACAGGTATCCTTTAAGTTTTATATTCCCCAAGAGCCTAGAGAACTTCAACTTACACCCAGATTTGTCACATGTTACCAAGAGATGAAAATTAGTGAAGGTTTTTCATCACGTCAAGAGTTCTATACAATCATGAACGCACAAGTTGATCAGTCAATCCATGATAATAGATTTACCACAGCCTAATATTGTATTTTAATAGAGGACTATATTATTTATCCGATTTTTATTATTTCAATATCAGATGTTATTCTGTTTACTAATTATATTAAAAAAGAAGGCTCCATTGAAGATATTTAAGTAAATTTGTGATGATGGAGCCTTTCTAGTGGAAAACCTTTAAATGTAACCCAAAATAATTATTTATAAATTGACTATTATGAAAATTATATTGTAGCATGATCAAGAAATACAGAGCTATATATAAATTTGTATTTTATTATTATACATGAGGTTATATAAATTGGTTATACTGTTTTTTTTTGTTTTAACCGAATCCATTGGTTGTAGGATCACATGCAAAATCTCATCTGATATCCCGAGAAGGTCATTATATATTGACCAACAAAGTACCTGCCTCAACGACATCATATACTTTTACCAGAGTCTTGATCACACTATCATGTCTGCTATACAATCAGATCTTTGTTTTAATTGATACCACTGTCAATATAGGTTGTTTCTTTGTTACCTTAAAATATGATAGAAGCAATAGCATCAGAATTTGGCATGGAATTGGTGCCTAATATGAAATATTAGAAAAGAAAATGTTTTCTGGCAATGGTCTGAATGCTAAGGAAAAATAAGAGAGAAAGGGAATGACCGAAATGGTGAGAATAAAGGTGAAGGCATATTGAGGCAATGTAACTACAACTTTAGTATTGAGTAATATAATATGTCGTAGATCAAAATACTTATAGCAATTAGTTCGATGTATTATAGATTATAATATTTGTAGTATGTAGCATAAAATATTGTAAAGTATATTTGCAGAATGTAGTATATACTACAACTTTAGCAATATTTTTGAGTCGGAAACAGAAAGTTGATATATGATGAGACATTTATTCTTGTCATTACTAGTAGTAATTGTTAAAGTATTGGGCCTCCAATTTGGGTATACTTTTAGACATACTTCTCTAAAGGCATGACAAAGCAAATCCCGTATTTCTTTAGTTGTAAGCTTGGGTTCAATTTTATTAAATTTTTCTCTAGACAAATCGTCATCGCCTTCTATATATTCGTGTAGTGAATGTCCTTGACATTCTGTGAGTATTGCTCCTGTCTTTGGTATTCGTACCAAGGAGTTGTCTTGGTCTTACATTATCATCGACATTGTCGTGGTAAAAAAGTGGGTGCAGTAACGTGACACGCCGCAGCGTCACGTAATTGCTGTTGTTGTGAGGGAATAGTGGGAAATTAGTGTAAGAGAATTTAAAGGTGTGAATTTATAGAATAGCGTTGAATAACGATCAAATGTAAACATGTAAACAATAGGCGCATGTATAAATACATGCGCAAATCAGTAGCGTGCAAGGGGTTTTTTGGATTAGAGTATGAGATAGAACGCATTAAGTAATAAAAAATAAAGTAACGTTTAAAGGATAAACTTTACCTTGTGTTTAGTAGACTTGTAACTTAGACTACGCGACTGCAAGAGAGAACCGAGAGTTGCCTAAGTGAATTGTGGCATTGGAAAGGACTAGGCTAATCGATAGGGAAGTTAAAGTAAGAAAACGGCCAAATCGGAACACTCCTCAAGAGTTAGAAGAGAAACTTACCTTATTATGAACCGGAAAGCGACGACTAGTAGTATGGGCTTGCCGGAGAGCCCACAACAACATATATTCTGCTACATTGTCTGCTTTGGGGCCCCGGTGGTAGAACACACCTTTACCTTCATTTTTATCTGACTCTGGCTCGAGTTCTGACTCCATCTCCGGCTTAAAATTTTCAGATGTATCTTCATATCACTCCAAGTTTTCAGGAATATGGATCTCAATTGGTGTATCGGTTACTACATCGAGTAATGCAGGTAAAATAAGTGTGTCAGCACCCTTTTGAATATTTTGGGCAGTCATAATACGTTATTATTTCGAAAATATAATAGTGGTTAGAGAAAAGTTCAAAATAAAAATTAACTATTTTAGGTAATCAGTGTTAGACATATAATACAGTATATACGTTATTAAAGAATTTGGCATAAATATGGGATTTTATCGTTGTTCTTATATTCTTAGAACAGGTCAAATATGTAATCGGAGTTGCTATCGACCTGAGGGATGTACAGTTTGCTGCGATTCATCTATGCCTGTTCCTTGTAAAAAATATAGTTGATTTAAGTTAACAATGAAGCGTGTAGAACTCCTGCTGATAAGTATCAATTTCAGGGTCACTATCAGCAGAAAAAGCTGGAGAAGATGTTACAAAAATCAGAGGCATTTGGGAAAAATAAATAATGTATAGGCATAGTAAAATATATCAAAAAATTTTGTCACGAGTTCGTCTCAAGTAAAAAATTGATAGAAAAGTAGGTTCTTGAAAGTCCGAGTTTGAAAAAAAACTGTTCTCGACAACCGTCACGACTGTTACAAGTTTCTTAGATTGATTTGTCGACCCCAGTTTTTTGTTTTGATTTTTTCCCTTAGAATTCTACTTTTTTACTTAAGTAACTTGTGACAGATATAGAGAAGTAATAAAGGGAGAAATGAAAATGCTTAAAACTCTCAAACAGCCGTCACAAGTTCTGTCACAAGTATCAGCAAACAACTAGTGACGTCTAACTACACTTTTAAAAAAATATCGATATGTTTTAGTTGAGTAGGAAAATAAACATGTAATTTACTATCAAGGCTAACTAGGACAAAACTAGAACAAAACCAGAACAGATTCTTTATTAGAATATAAATAAATCTATTTTAACTGTATTTCACAATATCGATATAAGATTTTAAAAGTCACATAACCAAATAAAAATTGAGAAAGACCACTATTATATAATTATATATGAAAAGTATGATAAAAAATTAGCATAAAAAAAATTAAAATATTATTTTAATTAACCTACTTATATAACGACAAGCTTTTTATTGTTGTTTAATTTTTGTCCTTCGAGTCTTGTTTTCTTCTTTAATATAAGTAACTGCAACTACTACACATGCAATTGCAATTATAAAGAGTTGAAATGTATTGCCTGAAAATGAACCGCCCCGAAAGAAGCATTGAAATTTGGCATATTTTTATCGTCTTTTTTAGGGTTTACGAAAGGAAAGTTAAAACAACTTTGGTATTTAAAATACTTTTATGTCAATTTTGAATTAACAGACTATCGTTATCTCAAATATAATGCATACAATAAGAAATTATCGTTTGATTGTTAAAAAAAGGCCCCAAAATCAAATCCGCCATATGATATCATTCTACTGATAACAGCATTTGTGCAATATACCTCGCATACATATTTAATAGTATTTGTATGACATACTTAACAACATATATTCAATAATTAGCCTCCTTAGATAACATGTAAACTGCAATCGAATCATTAATCAAGCAACTAGACCAAACCAGTATTCGATAGTTTACATGTTGCCTAATAACAGAAATTGGCCATTATCACTAAACCAGCATTTGATAGTTTACATATAGTCTAATGATGGGATTGACCGCAATGGTCAAACTGGCATGTGGAAGTGATGACAGAAATTGATTATAATCATCAAATTGATATACTGTACAAATATCACTACTGTATCGAATTCAAATCATAATCGTGCATTGGGTGTCATAATATGAATCAGATATTTCATTATAGTGGAAATCTATCAGAAACATTAAACCGATACACAAAAATTTACATATGTGATTAAAACATTATTTATATCGACTTTGATTTTCTAAAAAATATACAAGCCCTCACAATAACAACATATGATTGGATGCATCAGCAATATATTTTTTTGCCCATGTGACCTAATAACAGAAATTGGTAATGAATATCAAGCCAGCATACAAATAATGTTATCAAATTTAGGTTTTTAAAGAAAATAGAAAAGAAGTGCACTTGAGATATTATAACCTAAATCCAATATTTATATTCAACAGAAATTGATTAAAAACATTAAGCTGATATCTAAAAATTTATATAATTGATAAAACATTAACAATATCAAATTTGACTTTCTAAAAAGTATACAAGTTACCTATCTATCAGGGATCAATTTCTATAATTAGATCACATAATGATAATAACTAATTTTTTTCATCAAAAATATAACCTAAAAAATATCAAGCCATTGACAATTGCAATCAATTCTTGTTATCAAGTCACATAATAATATAGATTAAGTGAAAATATTATAATTATATTATTTTGATTTAACTTATATAAATTTATAGTAAATTTAAGTATCAAAGTAATATTGAAATAGTATTGAAGTAGTATTGTTAGAAGCTCTACTAATTACTTTTAAAAACAGAGCCAATAATAATGAAAGTTATTTGTTTGCTTTTTCAAAAACTTTATTATATCAAAATTACTAAATAAAATACTGTATATAGTAAATAATTGGAAATTATATTTAATTCAGAATTATACTGACAATTAAATTTTTTTTATAATAATAAGAAAACATATAGTTTTAATATCTATAAGAAAATTCACTTAAATTCTTGACCTTATTCATAAAATACTTCCATTACACTTGAAACATACAGTATATATATTAAATCTTTTTTATAATTTAAAGAACAACCTGTATAAAGTGACTGCAGCACCTTTATACAATAAGATATTCTTTGTTTTAAATATTTTATATCAACTTTGCTTTATACTTAAATAGTATCTTATTTAAATACTTGTATAATAACATCCTATCAAATGTTAACTTTGCCAGACTAATCAATCAAAGCACAATAGAACTCTTCACAATTATAACATTAATCTTGAATATAGTAAAGAACTTAAATAGTAAGTTCTGGCTAATCTTTTTTGATATTTCACAAGTATTTAACTCAATCAATCTCAGCAGCCTCAATATAACCTTAAAAAGAATCAAAATTTCAAACAAGCTTATGCAGTTTCTTCCATAGTTTACTTTATAAACAAAAGCTCAAACTTTGGCAACATTAATGAACTGGAAATGTTGAAAGGTTTATATTAGAGAGAAACACTATTGCCACTCTTG